TACTTCAACCCTCTCCCCCCCCTCCCCCCCTTGTGCCAGTTCGCGAGCCGGACCGCATTATGGATTCGATCACCCATGGCATACCCGTTGTCGACCCCTTTTAGCAAAAAGGTTCGAGTATCGGACATTATATGAGATTGCAACGGCGGGTTCTTAGAGACGGTGGCGAGCGGAGGCCGTTGTTGTTATGTTGTTTTCTGTTGTTTCGTATGTGTGTGTATACGTTTTATTTTTAATACCATGTTCGTAGTGAGTGGGATACGTACTTCAGCCCCCCCCCGCCCCCCCTCCCCCCCCGTGCCGGTTCACTAGCCGGACCATATTATATGAGATTGCAAATGGATCCGATCACCCATGACACACCCGTTGTCGACCCGTTTTAGCAAAAGTTTCGGGCATCAGACATTATATGAGATTGCAACGGCGGGTTCTTAGGGACGGTGGCGAGCGGATGCAGAAACACAGGGGGGGGCAGGGGGGAGAGAGAGAGAGAGAGAGAGAGAGAGAGAGAGAGAGAGAGACTCTAGTTGAACAGCGAGTCAATTCGCAGTTATCGAGGTCGATGTCAGGTCATGATCTGTTTGGTGACTGACCACCTTTAAGAAGTGGTAGACCACCTTCAAGAAGTGTTAACCTTCACGAAGTGCCAAACAGTCGGCGGTCAGAGGACTCTAGTGCCAAAAGCATTCTTAAGGGACCTTGCGGTCGTGTTCAGAACACATTGGCGTAGCACTAGATGCTCACCAAGCAATTCTAGATGTCGGTTATATCGACACATCGTAAGATGCCTTACAAGCAAGCAGCTGCTGCTTGCAGGACCTTCTACCCGGTATGGATCTTTGAGAGCAGAGTTTCGCACTCCACCGTGAGATCCACGTCGAATAGGTGGACCTGCCATCCTACCGCTGTTAGCGGTAGTCATTTTGAGGGAGTCGATGAGATGAGGAGCCGGCAAAGAAAACTCTTTGTGGACTTTGCTGCCGTGTTTTTGGAACTTATTGGCGTAGCACTAAATACTCACCTAACAGTTCTGGATGTCGGTTCTATCGACAAATCGTAAGATGACAAGCAAGCAGTGGCTGCTTGCAAGCTTGCAGGACCTTCTAGACGGTGTGGATCTTTGAGAGCAGAGTTTCGCACTCCACCGTGAGATCCACATCGGATAGGTGGACCTGCCATCCTACCGTTGTCAGTTGTAGTCATCTCGAGGGAGTCGACAAGGTGAGGACCCGACAAAGAACACTGTCAGGGGACTTTGGTGCCGTGTTTGGAACATATTGGTGTAGCACTAGATGCTCACTAAGCAGTTCTAGATGTCTGTCATATCGACACATCATAAGATGCCTTACAAGCAAGCAGCGAGTGCTTGCAGGACCTTCTACCCGATGTGGATCTTTGAGAGCAGAGTTTCGCACTCCACTGTGAGATCCACATCGGCTAGGCGGACCTGCCATCCTACCACTGTTGGCTGTAGTCATCTTGAGAGTCGATGTGGTGAGGACCCGGCAAAGAACACTCTTAGGGGACTTTGCTGCCGTGTTTGGAACTTATTGACGTAGCACTAGATGCTCACCAAGCAGTTTTGGATGTCGTTTATATCGACACATCATAAGATGCCTTACAAGCAAGCAGTGACTGCTTGCAGGACCTTCTACCCGGTATGGATCTTTGAGAGCAGAGTTTCGCAGTCCACCATGAGATCCACATCGGATAGGCGGACCTGCCATCCTACCGCTGTTGGCTGTAGTCATCTTGAGAGTCGATGAGGTGAGGACCCGACGATGTTCCAATTGGGACGTGCTCTTGTTTCGTGATATGAATGTGCTTACATGCGGTACGTTTGATCCCCTCCTCGACGTCAAGCAAAGTGCGAGGGAATTGCGTAGGGCTCACACCAGAAGTGCGATTGAACTCGCACTTTGATGGAGAAGCAGTTGCGCAGTCCATCAGCGCGACGATTAAATATGGATATTGGCTTGTCATTTATATATCACAGGTTGAAAACGCCATCTAATCTTTCTGTGTAGAAGATTCATATCCATTCATACAAGTATCTCTTGTCATCGCATACATCGAGATGAAAACATCTCAAGTCAAATTGCAAAGCACACAGAGACATCGCAAACATCGAGGTGAAAACATCTCAAGTTGCGCACTATTTTTCCAAAGGTGAAGTCTCAGAGCAGACGATCAGTTTTCAGAAACCATTCTATGCAGAAAATTCATTCGAGGGCAAATTGCAAAGCACAGAAACTTTCCAAATTGAACGCAAAATATCATACAATGCCACATTGCAAAGTGCACAGAGGCTTTCCAAAAATCACAAAGTACATGGAGCCAAAGTGGGAATATGTTCTAATTTCCCATATGGAACCAACAGTTCAATCACAAATGCACGGCATCCAAAGTGCGAATATGTTCGCATTTCTCATACGGAAACAACAGTCAGCATCCAGTGGAAAGCACGAGATGTATTCCGGGGATAATAAAATTGGCAATCATTTAGTGCACTGCTGAATCCGTTAAACAACTTCAAGCACAAGTCAAATTGCAAAGCATACAGAGACATCGCAAACATCGACGTGAAAACATCTCAAGTTGCCTAGTGTTTTTCCAAAGGTAAAGTCTGACAGCACACGAACAGGTACCAGAAACCATTCACTGCAGAAAATTCATTCAAGGGCCAATTGCAAAGCACACAAAGACGTTTCAAAAAGTCATTGAACGCGAAATATCATACAAGTACGGAGGCTTTTCAAATATCAGAAAGTACATGGAGCCAAAGTGCGAATATGTTCTCATTTCTCACATGAAACCAACAGTTCAATCACAAATGTACGGCATCCGAAGTGCGAATATGTTCGCATTTCTCATACGGAAACAACAGCCAGCATTCCCTGGAGAGCACGAGATGTATTCCGTGGATAACAAAATTGGTGATCACTCAGTGCACCGCTGAATCTGTAAAACAACTTCAAGCACACATACATTCTGGCGACAATTGGTTTCCGAATGGAGAACAAGTTCGCAACTGTCATAAGGAACCAACAGATAACATTCAATCGAGACAAGCAGAGGGGGTGAACCGTAAAACGGAATGGCACACACAGAACAAGGGCGAGTCAAAACATATGAAAGCTGGGTGGTCGGGGTGAGGCGGGGGAGAGGGGCTTTCACACCACAAAGTCTCGCGAACGAAAGAGATAAGCAAGAAACAATTTGGCGACCAAGAATAAATCGTCGATATCTTTCACATGAGCAAGAGAGGAGCACAACCTCGAAACGAACAAACGCAGCATGGTGCTGCCACGGTCTGAGAGGATATAAGGAGAACAACCCAAAAATAAACCAAAGAAGCACAAAGTTGGGATATTCACATCCGATATGTAAGCGTCTACTTAAAACGAAGTGCACGACGTGGCTGGGATATTTACATTGGCATCTAAGCTTCTACTTCACGTAAGCGTTCGCTGCTACCCACTAGCTGATGTTGCGTGGCAAGCAATGAGAACAACCCTAAAACAAACAAAGGCAGCAAGGCGCTGCCGAAAGTCCTACGAAAAAAGATGATAGGTTCCACGAAATGAGAAACCCTTAAAAAAATTGGTACATCACGAGGCTGGGATATTCACATCGACACCTTAAAACGTCCTCTGCAATCCGGTACCTCATCAAGACAACAGCACAGCTTGAACCGGGTGACTGCCAGATCAAGTGGGAATAGATTCGCACTTCTGCTTATGGCCTTTGGAAAACAAAACTACGCGTATTTTAACAACAGGGGTATTATTCAAAGCCTTGGAGTATGCCCACCGCAATCCTCAGCCTGATGTTTGAAATGTCGCTTTGGGCTATCGGAAATGGTGGCGGGTAGCCGCGTGCAAGAAAAGAAGCGAAGGTGAGCATGAAAACACCGCAGCTCGACCCGTCCGACTGTTGAGGGACACCATGAGCAACCACCTTGGGTGCCGGGAGATCCAGTTTGGCTTGTTGACCATATCGACGAGCCGCTTCGTCGCGGAGGTATTGCGTGAAGTTCGCAAGCACATCCGAAGAAAAACCGCCATCGTCTTGGAGGAGGGAGTCGTAGTACTCCAACCCTTGTTCTCGGACACATAATAGGGTCCAATGCACTCGATTTTTATAGACAGGAATCAAGACCATGCCGTACGAGAAAATATCCACATCTTTTGTCCATTTCGCGACCCTTTCATGTCGATAGCCGCCACCGACGAGCTTGGTATAGAAAAAGGGACTGAAAATGTAAAGAGAGGGACCCCCAGGGAACGCAGCGTCGGCAAGCAAGGCCAAGTACGACTCCACCACCTCGTCGGAAAGCAGTCCCCCCTGGACAAGAGTTTGAAAACTTTTTCTGGTCAACGGAATCGAACTCGGACCTCTGCGAACCGAGGAAACCACCTCCTGGCCGTTGCTGAAATCTCCGCAGACTTCCTGCAACATTCTAAAGTCCGCAGCGCTAAGCTCCTCAGTAGGCAAGGGAACGAGAAAACATGATGTAGCCCCAGATGCACAAACACCCACGAACAAGTGTGAGGAGTGAGCACAAACCCCCGGGCGGAATGGCTAAGAACTGTCTGCCCTTTTCCCCGAAAAGTTGTATCCCCGACTGTTGAATGTGTCCTTCGCGATGTACTTAGGACACGAGTCTTTCAAGACACCCCGTTCGCCATCGTCATCAGACCCATCAGACAAGGCAGTAACGCTCTCAATAGACGCAGCCAAATGTTTCCGCAGACCTTCCTTCTTATCTATTCCACAAACCTTCAGAACCCTGACAACTCTCTGGGAAAGGCGAGGCATCTGGACCCTTTTAAACAACCCTACACTTGACGAGTTATTCGGTAAAGCGGCCAATGACCTCCCTGAAAGACGTTTCTCGCGCATGGCTTTCATAGGCGTCATGGGCAAGGACATTAATAACCTCACACCTGTAGAACATAGAAAACAAGCCACAACCCACAATTTTTTTTTAAACCAGTGGTAATGGGTACATTAGCCCATGACATCAATTTGGACGAACACAGAGCAAGCTACTGATAGATATGCGAGTGGTCCTATTCACAAATCTTATCGTGCTCGGGAGCCCTTTGAGGGAACTCGCCCTTCTGTCGCGCCATTGCGCCAACGTCCACGAACGATTCGAGGTTCGGGACCTCGGCCACGGCTGTGTCGCTAACCAGCTCGGTGGCAGCTGAGTCGCTTGGCAAGTCGATGGGTTCATGAAGCACCATCTCCCGACCGGTACTGAGGACAGATGCTCGATCACCCTGTTCAGCACCGCAACGGGTGGACGGAGAATCATGATCTTTCCACTCTAGATCCATCTTGATGCTGACGGCCACCTCACCGCCTTCCACGGAGGATTCGACGTTCTGCATCTCGGCCACGCCTGAGTCGCTAACCAGCTCGGTGGCTGCCGAGTCGTCACCCAACTCTATGGCTTCATGAAGCACCATTCCCCGAGTGGTTCTCAGGACAGACGCTCGACCACCCTGTTCTTCACTGCAACGGGTGGGCGAAGAATCACCATCTTTCCGCTGTGGATCCGTCCGGATGTCGACAGTCACCTCACCGCCTTCCACCATGGGATTTCCGCCTTTCTCATCGCCATGAACCCGAGCTTCCACCGCGGGTTCTTCTTGGTCTTCATCGTCGCCAAGAACGGGAGCTCGCATGGACGTCCACTGACCTCCCTTAACGACACCCTCTCGCGTCGTGGCCACAGTCGAGTGACTGTGCAGAACCTCTTTGGACGTTCCGATCACCAGCGCTCGTGCGTGGAGCCACTTCACGTCTTCACGAGCCGTCCCGTGTCGAGTCTCCTCTCCCCGCTGTACAGAATGCGTTTCCCCCGCAGCTCCTGCACTCTCGCTGTCAGTGTCCACGGACGCACCCTCCGAAGCATGACGTTCACACTCGCTACCCCCGGTCTCCAACACTTTGCGAGACTGCCAGCATTGAGTCTCCTCTTCCCGATGTACAGCACGCGTTCCCGGAGAGCGCTCATCTTCCCCAAGAGTGTGACGTTCATTCTCGCTACCCCCGGTCTCCAACACTCCTAAAGCGGGCCCCTCCAGCACGTCGCTAGACCGCCAGTCTCGAGTCTTAACACATGAGAAAGGAGGCGAGCACGGTAACCCTGTGTCCAACTGAAGATGCGGGGGCCAGGACGTCACATTTTCTTGGCCCTGCGGAACTGTTGCGTGAGGAGCACTTATGGCGGACGGCGACGTCAGCAAATCCGAATGTATTCGGAGTTTGTGGCGGTCGCCTGAGCCGAGGGAACCGGAGGTCGCACCTTCGCTCCTTCGCAATGCAGGCATTCTGCCCTCCAGGCAAAACGAAGACGGACCCTCTTTCTGGAGCAAGGTGTTGAGCACAGGAGACCTCTACTGCGCACGGCGGGATGGACTCTCCTGGGCAACGGGAAACAAACTCCTCGCAGACAAGTGCGAATCTACTCGCACTTGATCAGACGTCAGGGTGGCCTCGTCTCGCATGTCGGAATCTCGACTCCCTACGCAGTGGGGGTCAGTTTTCATATACTGGGACTCCCGGACGTTCTACGCTTTCCGCCCGACCCCTTCCCGCCCGACCCCTTCCCACCCGACCTCTTCCCGCCCGACCCCTTTCCGCCGGACGCCTTCTCAACCGACGATGTCTCGCCCGTCCCCTTTCCGGCAAACTGTGAGCCGTCTCCTCCGCCACCTCCGCCGTCTCCTTCGTCTCCTCCACCACCCCCTCTCGGATGCTGACCGGCCGGCGGAGGTTGCGGCATGCGCCAGTCAATGCCACGAGACGGTGCCGTTTCGAGTGCGTAGAAAGGCGCTCGAAACTCCAACATGTTGTTGGCGTACAACTCATGTAGCTTTTGTTCTGCATACGCATCGATGTCCTGATCGTTCCTCTCGGGTTTCATGAGACTCAAATGCTCCACTAGAGCAGTTCTTGCCTTCCTCTTAAATGCACCCGCTCCCAGTCTCTTCAGTCTCAGCCACTTGCCACCGGCCTCCTTTATTGCCATGACCCATATTCCAGTCCTCACAGCAGGTTGGAATATCCTCGGGTGCCAGACGACGTTGTGTCCCCAGACATCCTCCGACGTGAACCGGTGATGCTTGCCGAAGAAGTAGAGTCTGTCATTCTGCCAGGTGTCATGGTCCACAAGGAGCCTGTCACAAGGTTCATGATCATAGTCTCTCTCTTCCTCCCCGTCATCAGACGATTGGTCGTCGACTGGTTCGCCCCGAAACACACGCTTCAAACCGGCAGGGGACGTGCTATATCTCCGAGGGCCACCTTCCTCTTCATCACCAACCTGTCCAACCACCCGAGGAAGTGGCATGGACTCGAAATCGAATGTTTCGGAGTCGCTCAGCTCCTCCATGTCTTCAGCGTCGAAAGGGTCCTCCTCGTCAAACTGTGACTTGTAGTTTTCGAGAGTGAGCGGTTCGGCCAGCGTGAAGTAAACGTGCTCCAGCCTTCTCAGGAAGTGCGAGACAGACTCCCTAGGTGCACCATGGTACCCATTGAGCACAGCGAACACCAGGTTTCTCCGTCGACTGTATTCGAGGTCGCTCGGACCAGGCGGTTCGGGTCCGAAAAGGAAGTCCCAAACGTCCGTCCTTTTGTTCCCTGACAATTTCCAATACATGTCACGTTTGGGATCCCAGTTTCGTTCGCCGATGGTGCGGACAAACTCGCAAGCATTGCGAGTGTCTGCAACGCGTGTTTTCACGAACTCGTGAAGGTAGTCGATCATTCTCGCCTCCTTCTCCAACGCGACGACGTTCCGACCGGTGCGGAGGAGTCCCCACACGACAGACGCATGCGCCTTCCCAAAGAAAAAAAATGTTTGCCCAGCTTTGCAAAAGTTTTCGAGTAGACCAAGTAGACAGGACGGGTTCCACTCCATCTCCCCGTAAGCAGGTCCTTGAGAACTTGTCACGCCGCCGTCCTCCCACATGCTACGAGAGAACCTTTCCTCTTCCGCCACGTCGAAACACGCCACAGCCTGTCCTGATGGGTCCGATGAGCACACAGGTTTCGAGCGGGCCGCCACCATGTGTTTGGCCAGACTTGGACCTTCGGAATGGGAAACCTTTGTCGGGCTACTGGCCGGGTAGACTGCGTATGTGTTGTCTTCCAGCTTTTTGCCATTAAATATCACGTACAGGCGGTCACACTCCTCAACCAACATATTGCCTTCCCGGACAGTGGCCTGCTTTTGTGCATTACATACCCACTTCCCTGTCCTGACGTGATGGACGCTAAGCCTGGCCATGCCTTTCAAGAAACTGAGCTCCCAATGAGAGGGGAAAAAGATCACAAGTGCCCAGTGCGTTGGCGAAAATGTTTGTAGAAGGCCTTGCAAGTTGGCGAAATCATCTTCTCGCCAGTCTGTGAGGAGTGTGGGATCACACAAACCGAGGACGTACAGGTTACACACGTAATGTCGCACAACCTCACGGATCGCAGTGACCTGACTGTGAGCTTGGGAAGGCGGGAAAGCAAAAGGAATAAGGTTGGTCACCCGGTTGAGGTCGGGCCATTTGATGTGCCTCACATCCCCGCTGACCCTGATCGTGTCTCGAACTTCTTCTTCCGTCCGTCGCAAGATGGAACGGACAGACTTTTCGAAAGATTTAGGGAACCTGTCATTATCGTACAATCTCTCCACGTCGTCGATGGACTCCTTCTCGTGCGGAAGACTACGTTTGCAAGTGTTCACGTACTCCACCGTGCCCTGGAAATGCTTTCGCATTTTGACCCACACCTGTTTCGTGAGGCCCTGCGGCCCGAACTCCTCCAGAAGCTTCCCCTCGGTCCGAAAAAATGGGCTCTCGTGGCGCCAAACACGTTCGTTCTCCTTCGTTTCAAGGAACAAGATGTAGTGGAATATACGGAGCATCACACGGTCCACTTTCCTCGTCGCGACCATATCTTTAATTCCAGGTTTATGCTAACGCTTCAGATGGCCGCCCGCGGATTGCACGAACACTCCCCTTGGCGCGAGAATATCGTCAAGGATCGACAGTTTCTCGACATCGGTCATGTCGGCGGGACACTGCCAACAGAACATGTTTGGCTCCTTCACGACCACGAAAAACTTGTCGTCCGCTTGCGTTTTCTTTTTGGTAGGAGGCGGAGGTACCCGGACAAGCCACCCCATCTTCGTTTCACCAGCCGCCCCTTTCGAGCCCATTCCCGGAATTGCTTGCAGACCCGGAGATTTGTCTGGCATGTATTTGCCCGGCCCCGACAATGGCGTCTTGCCGTCGCCGCCGAACAACTTCCCCTCCGCCCATTTCGCGTAGAACTCCATGGCTTTGCGGAAAATGTCATCACCGGCCATCACGAGCGGCATCCACTGCCTCAATGCATTGCCAACGGCAGCGATATACTCCTTGTCGGCGAGCGGCAAATCTTTTTCTACCAACGACCAGTGAGCTTCGTTCGGACTCATTTCCAAAATCAGCTTTTAGAAATCGAAAAACTTTTGTTTTTCCAAGAATGCGGCCTTCTGCGATCGCTGCTTAGACCTCTTGTGTCTCGTGTTCTCGTTGAGACTGACCTGCCTATAACCCGCGAAATCTCGGTCCGAGAACCACACCACTCTCGCGGGCCACGAGTGCATCTTCCACAATACAAATATTGGCTCACCCTCCAACTCCTTCACAGCGGCCACGGTGTGTTGTCCGTTAACAGGGTAATAGTAGTACTCGTCCTTGTCCTCTGGCTTGAAGACATCTTTGTGAACCCTGTCAGCTTGCTCCGGCCTACACTCCACCGGCTTGTAGATGGGTGCTAGAACCAAAGGGTTTTTCATCCAGATCTTCCCCCTTTTCTCGCGGAATTGACGCAGCATCGCAGCCTTGATGTCGTCTACAGTTTCGCGATTTAGACCGCGGTGGTTGTAATATCTTTCCCAAGACGGGATGTCACAGACCTTCCTTGGGTCGATGAGCAGTTGGACGGGGAGCTCCTTCTCCACGATCTCACCGCCATCGTTCCGCTCGTATTCGAGCCAGAACGCTGCCGCTTCGTTGCACTCCTCACGGACAGGCCGTTCGCCCCCGCTCGCCGCCTCAGCAGTCTTCTGCCTTCGAGGTTTCTTCTGGCCATTGCCTTCTTCAGCTGCCACTTTCCATTTCGATTTCCCCGAAGGTTCTCTCACGGCCGGGGCGCCTAGATCAGCCGAATCTCCTCCACCCACAGCTTGTCCTTCGCGGATGGTCAAACCGTCGGGCCTCCTCGCTTTCTTACTTGCCGTCCCACCCTCTTCCTTCGTCGGCCTCTTTCCCGAGGCACGTTCTCCGTCGCCACCTCTATCCCCGCCCATCACCGCCTCCGTTTTTCCTCTCATCCTCTTCATGCGGAGGGTTCCTTCCGCCACCTCCTCTCGCACCATCCTCCTTCGCTCGCTCTTCTTCTCCGAAGGAGTCTGCTCTGCGCCAGAGCTTTCGCGGACAGCGCCCATCTCTTCAGCCTCATTCCCTCCAACATCTAGCCCGAATCTGCTTAAATCTCTTCTCGTCTCATCTCGAAGCAAATACGTGTCGGCGCCGCAGTGGACCTTGATAAGTTTCGAAGTACTGACTTGTTGAGTCCCCTGAGAATGCAAGTCCGACGTGTTCCTAGGAGCATCCGGGCCGACCTGCGTGTGAACGCCGCGTCCCTTGACCTGACCCCCAGCGTCTTGAATCGGACTCCCACGCCCCACTGCCGTACCTGGAGTTTCTTGAGCCAAGCCGGACGACCCCTCACGGGATGGCAGAAGCCGGAAAACATGCTCTGGCAGAAGAACCGGACGTTCTTTCGGCACCATCAGCGCGAGATCGAGATATTGCTCTAGCGATGGAAGACGCTTGCTGCCGCCATCGTAAAGGCCTTTGAAGTGAGAGCACAACGGCATGTTCGAGTCGTACCCCGTGAAACTCTTGATGGTCACCAGCACACCTTTAACACCTCTGATAGGCAGTCTGCACTCGTCGTAAATGTTGTTAGTGTGCAGCTTGAGCAAACCTCCAGGAGTCTTCGCGCACGAGACGACGGTACCGAGAGGAACAACATTGACCGCTCCCCCAGCGTCTGTAACGCAAGTGGGTCGCATGAAAACAGCTGGCCCAAAAAGGTCCCCCTGAACAACGAAGTCCAAAAACCATTGTGCTCTCTTTGCGTGCATATACTGAGGAGTAGGTTGCTGTACAGGTCGTCCCTCCCCGGGGGCAGATGGTCCAACGCTTGTGGATGTGTTCTTTGCGGACGCCATTATATTCCCACCCATTGACTAGCACGCCCAACCTCAGACCAACTCGGATGACTAATACGCCCAACCCCAGACCACTACAGAGGCGAAGTGCGAACTAACTCGGACTTAACGAAATGGAGGACGAAAAGGACGTAAGAGATGGGTGTTCAAAATGCACACGAATTCACAACAATCAGAGGGAAGATGATAACTGTTCGAAAAGATTGCGACCCAACTAGATGCCCTCGAAACGAGTAAGATGTGGTTTATCGACAAGTGCGAAGGGTGTCCACAAGTGCGAACTAACTCGCAGTTCTGTAGACAAGACAACAATGGCAACCNAGATGTGGTTTATCGACAAGTGCGAAGGGTGTCCACAAGTGCGAACTAACTCGCAGTTCTGTAGACAAGACAACAATGGCAACCCGCTGCACTAGGGGAAAGTGCGAACTAACTCGGAATTGTGGAACTAAAGACTTGAAAGACGCACGAAACAAGTAAGATGTGGTTTATCGACAAGTGAGAACTAACTCGCAGTTCTGCTCACAAAACAACAATTGCAACCCGAAGTACAACGGGAAAGTACGAACTGACTTCGAATTGTGGAACTGAAGTCCTGGTTTATCGACAATTGCGAAGGGTTTCGATAAGTGCAAACTAACTCGCAGTTCTGTAGACAAGACAATAATGGCGATGCGCAGCACTAGGGGAAAGTACGAACTAACTCGGAATTGTGGAACTGAAGACCTGAAAGCCGCACGGGTTGGGTTGTCAACACTCCAGCAGTGTTGCTAAAAAAGTGCGAACTAATTCGCATTTGTGGAAATAAAGAACTCCCTTTAATGAAATATGTGTCTAACCTTGGGAAAACTGCGAATAACCTCGCAGTTGTCACTCCTCGAACACTGTACGTCGCAAACTACGAACTGACTCGCAATATATCTCTCTCTATATATATGAATCTATACATATATATATATATATATATATCAGGTCGGCCACCTCAGAAGGGACAGGTGAGCGAAAATCGGGAATTGATTCGGTGTTCAGTGTAGCAATATATCTCTATATATACATATATGTATCTATATCTTTATATATATATGTAGATATC